TGACATCCAGTGGCGCCCCCAGGTGCACTGTCAGGGGCCATGGAGCCCCCAGGGGCTCTCCTTATGGGCAGCAGCGCTCCCAAGGGCCTTCCCAGAGAAGGTGGCCCCTACAGGGGCCCTCCCAGGGGCAGTGGCACCCCGAGGACCTCTCAGGGGTAGTGGCACCCCAAGGGGTCCTTCAGGGGTGCCGGCAACCCTTAGGAGCAGCGACACTCCCAGGGCCCTCCTTAGGGGGAGCAGCACCCTCAGTGGCCCTGCCACAAGCAGTGGCGCTCCCAGAAGCGGCGGTGCCCTCAGGGGCCCTGCCATGGCCGGTGGTGCCCCTAGTGGCCCTTAGGTTTTAAGTCTGGGTGTCTATAAGAAGGCAAAGGACAACACTGTAATGATTTAACACTTTATTATCTTGGATAATGCAGAAAAGTAAAACACAATCATCTGGGCCGGTATACACAACACTTTTAAGGGCCTTAATAGGTCTGTTAAGTTAAAGGACCCCTGGAGCACTTTTAAGTCCTGCAATAGTCGTCTTTTAGTTGATACCAACCTGAACCAACAACAATATCAGTGGCGGCAGCTCATTTATTGGGAAAGGAGATATATATTTAATGAATACCCCCCTGTATAGTGTGTATATATTAAATATAGTGTGAATATATTGTGTATTCCCTCTTTATAGCAGAGATCTTCTTTCTTGACTTGGACAATACTGAGAACCAGCGTGTCTCACACTCTGCCACTGACCTCACCACACCAGGAAATGTACCATTGACTCTCATGGTGATTTCCAGCCATGCTCTCTTTGGTTATTTTTTGTTAACCACCCATCACCCTTTTTCACATGAAAAATATATTTTTTCACAAGTTTTTTGTTGTTTTAGAGAATTCTGACATTTATCTTTGGGGGCAAATCACTTTTTTTTTAGTTAGGTTAGGTTTGGAGGTTAGAACATGGCCTGTTAGGTCAGGTAACCTAACCTAAAAATAACCTCCAAACCTAACCTAACTAAAAAAAAAGTGATTTGCCCCCAAAGATAAATGTCAGAATTCTCTAAAACAGCAAGAAAACTTGTGAAAATATATATATTTTTTATGTGAAAAAAGGTGATGGGTGGTTAACGAAACGAGAGCAACGCTGTGTGTCACCATCACATCAAAATGTGACTCGGGAAAATTCGTGATTTTTACAAGTAATAAATCGTGAATACCGCGTTTATTTTTGGAATGTGCCTCTTAATTCAAGTATATTCGTTACTCAGTGAGATCTATTAAATGGTAAGAAAAAATAATAAAAAGGTGATGGGTTGATAACGAAAAATAACCTTCTCTTTTGTCTTTATTATTCAGGAAAGTCTTCAAAAGGCCATTCAATAGTAACTTTTTGTCTTCAATGGCATCCACCAATAATAAAGTCTGGTCTGCTGTCCAGCTGGGCTTCCCTTTTTTGGGTGGGTTTGAGACTTCCATTTCCTCAATAACACGTTTGTTTACAAACAGCACGGCAAGGAAAAGCCACCGATCACTATCCTTGGTTAATAAATCCTCCTTTACACTGCATAGATAAGATTTTTTTATTTTAATCAAAATGAATATAAATGTAAAAATTGAAATTAATCTTCATAATTTTATTGAGGTTATTCAGCCATAAGACCATTTTATATGATGAACTCCTGCTATCCTTAGCGCTGTTTAGCGGTACTTAACAAACAACTATTTGTGCGGTAAAAGTTTGCTAGTTAAGCTTTGTGTATAACTTTTAAATTTTACTGCTAGCTAATAGTACTATTATGTCATTAGCATAAAAGTTGTGTGTAGATGGGCCATGTCCTAAAAATTTAAAAAGAATAAATCATCAATTGTTCATAGTAATCACTTAAAATTTCACTATGATGTATAGTCAGCAAAAAATTATTCTGCACCCCTGGGTGAGATGGCTCTCGCAATGAACACTGCGAGACTGACGCCATGTATTGGTAAGGTTGGTACCTCCGATTGTGTGATTCATTGTACAACTAGTGTGCTGTTATTCCTTATTACAGTGGGGTATGCTATAACGAACGGATCCTACTACGAATATTCCTATAACGAACGATTTTACCTATAAAATTGAGAATGCCATAACGAACGCAACTCCTACAACGAACGCGGATGAATATGGGACTATTTCGCCTGGCGCATGAATATTGTTGTACCGCGACCCACAACAAGAGCGTCAGGCACCATCTTTGTCTCATTGTGTAGCCAGTGCACCAGTGTTATTGTTGAAATTTCGTCTTTTAATGTGGAAATTCGCATTAGTTGTATAACTATTTTGTTGTACAAGTATACAATTGTAACAATGAATCGCCCAAAGCGAGTGAGAAAGCTAATAACCCTTGAAACTAAGGAAGAAATTATAAAGAAACGTGAGAATGGAAGAAGCATTGCGAAACTTAGTGATGAATATGGGATGGCTAAATCGACTATATGTACGATTTTGAAGAATAAAGGGGAGTTAAAAACAGTGCAAGTGGCTAAGGGAATCTTTAGACTTAGCAAAGCAAGGTGTAATGTGATTGAAGAGATGGAAAATTTACTCTTAGTGTGGATAAAGGAGAAAGAAATGGCAGGTGGTAACATTAGTGAAGCTATAATTTGTGAGAAGGCAAAACAATTGTTTAAGGACCTTAAAGCCAAGACTCCCAGTGGAAGTGATAGTGCTGTGCCAGTGTTTAGGGGTACCTGCATGCTGAATAACACTAAGGTAAGATAAAGTACTGTATTTTTTACATTTTCCACAGAATTTTTTCAGTGTTAAGTGGTTGTATTTGGGGGCCTGGAACGGATTAATCCTATAACGAATGCGGTTCTGGAACCAATTACGTTCGTTATAGCATACCCCACTGTACCATGTGTAGTAACCACAGACAAATTACAGGAATACATGTAAAACCCATAGCACTTAAACCAGATAATGTCATAGCATTATATATACTATACCGTAGTACTATGCTTAGTCACCCACATATGGTAGGAATGGCAGGCACTCTAGAAACTGAGGTGCTGTATAGGAATTTCACATACTATGAGATACAACGAAATGGTGTAAATATCATGATTATAACCACTATCTGAGAAAGTGATGAGAAGTGGCATAATACAAGACCTCAACCAGAAAAACACAATACCAAACATTTGTAACGAAGGAAAGTTATACAATATTATGCATAGGTAACTGAGCATTGATTATTTTATATAGTTATATGATGTTAACTGTTCTAATTGCATCTTGTAACACATTGTGCATGCAGACACATAGAAACACCTTGTGGTAAATACTATCTACAGAGTAACTGGCAACTCAGGAAGCCAAGACTACCAACATCCACTTTGACTCATGAGTGTTTTCAGAATTCATGGTCATACTGCAGGAACCCATAAAGGTGCAGAATAATATTTTGCTGACTGTACAGTACAAACTAAATATTATAAACAGACAGGGGCAGATCCAGGGGAGGGGAGGGGTGTCCCAGGGGGGTCTGAACTTCCCCCTTTTCAACAGAAAATTCCAATACTTTTTCTTTAATGCAGTATTGTACTCAGGCATTTTTGTATAGTAAAAAATTATTGCTATTGACCTCAGAATATCTCCTTATATCATGTGCACATGTTTCAAAATGACCTAAAAATGCCCATGATATTGGACAGATTAAAAAAAAAGAGTCTGGGTGGGAGGGGGCTTATGGCAACCCCCCCCTTCCATAAACTCCCCAGCTGGATGGGCGCAGTGTTCATCATGTCCCCCCCCCCCTCACCCACAACTTCTTGGATCACCCCTTTTGATATTCCTGGATCTGCCCCTGACAGCTAAAGAGAAAAACATACTGTGCAGTATATTTTAAATAATTTGTGCCAATAATTATCATTACAAACCTACTCCATGAACAGGACTGAGTCTAGGTTATAATGAATATTATTACATTATATTACAGGCCCAAATTCACACCCTGGAAATACTATACAGAACCAATGTGGGTTTTGAGATAAATATCACTACAATACTTGAGGAAACACTAGCCCTTCAATATCCTGTAGCCAGTTTTACAGAAAATAAACAGGCCAGGAGAAGGATGATCAGGGATGTATGCTGCACTCAAAGTGTCTGGGTAGGAACAGCATCAAGATGGTTTAACAATTTGGGAGTATTATTGACCCTGGCAGAATAACAGGCTGAAAGACACACACACATATATGTATATTGCCGGACAGGGCTCTTTTAGCCCGTCCCTCAGCCTATTCCTTGGAACATATTTACCAAAATACATACAGACTTCCTTAATTCTCCTAGAAAACTTATGAAAAATAACCAAATAATTTAATTACCATTGTCCTCTCCATTCAATGAATTCTTTTTTTTATTGGATAAGCAATGACTACCTTAATAGGGTATGTTTAAAATGAAGTTGCCAATTGCTTATCAATGAATTTTTGAGTAACTCTTAATGCACCTGCCATGCAATAGTTAAAGAAATTAATTTATTGTTAAGCTCATACACTCCATAAATCATAAAGAAAATATACAACTCAACATTTCCTTCTCCAAGAAAGTATTTTGCTATGCAGGCACAAACATGCACTAAAATTTTTTTAAAATACATTCCTGATTAGTGCAACAAATGCTAAAATTAAAATGTAATGGACATACTGTACTGTATATTGCATCCTAAGTTTAACCCTTAGACCCCGGGTGACGTTCCAGAACGAGCGCCTATTTCCACCAGTGATTAATGCCCAGCGCGGGTTACCAGGTTCCAGTGTGACTATTTGCCTCTCACACCATACCTCGGCCACAGGGAAGCTTCCTGAACATAATTATCTACTTTTGTTTGTTTCATTTCCATTGTTTGTCCATTTTATCATGTTGTATCAAAGTAATATTGCTAAAAGTAGTGTAGTTGTAGTGTAATGTAGTTTTACTGTAAAATAATGCTATGATTATGTTATAAATGTATTTATTTGTGGAAATATTATTATTTTATGTATTACTTGCTCTACCAAACACAAAGACAGCCAGAGAGCTGGCGACCGACTGGTGAGTGTTGCCAAGCAGTTTTTATGAAAATTAATGCAAATAAAATATTCAAAATGAATTATTTGTAGCAAATAATTATTAAGATCGGTAAATATATGTATTATTGGCCACCTCGGACACAAAGGCGAGCTAAAAATAGCTGTTAAGTGCGTAAGGACCACGAGTGTTAGCCGTCAAACCAACACTGTCTCCTTATCTCCTACCCCCTCCTCCCTCCCTCCATGCAGCCTACGAAGTTTCTAGAGGGTCAATATATAGTTTTTCTTAATTATTTTTTATTGTTTTATCATTTAAAAAGGTTAAAAAAATTTTGGGAAAAGCTGATTTTTCTCCATTTACCAGTGGGTGTGGGGTACTGCCAACAGCACACTAACCCGGGGCTTAAGGGTTCAGTAAGTTCAAAGCCTTCTCATTGATGAGCAGGTCAAAACATATTCATTTCATCTTGAATAAACTTACTCATCATTATCATGTTGAATGGGTGGAATGACATCCAGCTGGGCAATTTTCTCCTTCACTTTCACTGAAACTTGCTGGAAAAAACAAAACAAAAAACTAGTAAATAGAAAACAATAAATAATGACACATAATGAAAGAGACACATGGAGGCAGGGATTTTTTCTAAGAAATATTTACTAGTGGGCCATATATAAAAAGAACATACAGAACACAACATGCACAGGTATCCTTCTATATACGAAGTGTTAAGTGAATTTTCGTATCTTAAATAAAAGAACAGATGGGAAATATAGGGTTCGGTTCACCAATGACAAAAATACCCCAATATCGTACCCCAAAAACACAAAACTGATTCACAAACAAGAACAAAGCCTACCAAACTAATGATAAATAGTACACAACTATTATTTACTTCCAATAGTATATGAAATTACTACCTAATACTGTACATGAAAGATCAATAAAATACTGTTTATCTTTGGTACATTACTTTTGGGAGGGCAGTCTGGGGCTCACCACAAGAGGGTGAGAACGGGTAGACTGAGTGAAGGCTTTACTCAGCGAGATGAGGAGGGTTGTCCACCTCATCACTGTTGTCTGCCAAGGACACCACAGTCTTCAGCATGCTTGTAAATTGTGGCCACAGTAGAAGCAGCTAGACCAAGATCCTTCCCAATAATGGTAAGGCCATCACTGCATTCATAACACTTAATTACTTCCAGCTTTGTCTCAAAAGTCACAGACAGCCTTTCGTGGTTTTTACGGTGAAGTACAGGTTGCCGAAGATTCAGCAGAACGCTTGGATGCCATAACAAAAGGATGACACAAATACACATGGATAAAGAGAGATCACCTCACACACAATGAATGTTAAGACACAGGCTTGTGGGAGATGCAGAAGGGAGAGGGGGTGGTATGATCAGTGAGCAAGGATACGTCTCTGCGTATCTCTCCCCAAGAAGGCTGCACCAGCTGACTCCTGGAGTGCGAAATTTGAATTTTGGCCAAGGCCCAAATTCGTATAGGCAGGTGAAACTTTCTTATATTAAAATTTATGTGTCAATTTAGGAAATTCGTATAAGCAAATTTTTGTATCTCAAACTTTCGTATATCGAAGGATACCTGCCTTTAGTATGGTTCATTTGCAACTAATTGTGAAATACTGTACACGATATCATGAAACTGAAAGTGACATTTTATTGAAGATGTTTAAATCATGAACATTTTATACAATGGAGTAACTGCGGTGCTGCTGTACAGTGACAGTGGAGGAACTTCAAGAAAAAATAGTTTATACTTTTATTCAAAAAATTATTCTCAATGGGGAGTTGATGCTTGGTGGGTCAGTTGAAAGTCATGTGTGATGTTTCATAATGCAGTATGTATTTAAAATATGCTAAGAGACTTAGAGCAAGTGAGTTTAGTTGTGAGTAAATTAGGTATTTTTTAAATACTACAGGGGGTCCTCGCTATACATTGTACAGTGACCCCTCGTTTAACGAATGCCTCGGTTAATGAAATTTCGGTTAACGAACTGCCTTCCATAAGGATCTTCAATTTGGTTAACGAACAAAAATTCGGTTAACGAATTTCTTACGAACCGACCTCAACATGTTTTCGCTTGCACTGACCGGGCAACCAGCTTTAGTATCAGTCCGCCAATACATTAATCGGTTCTAGGGCTTAAATTCCTTACTAATTTAGTAAATATCAAGAAGTTTATACTATTCAATAATTTTAAAAGTTTAATATTCAATTTTTTAGTCATTTTAACAATTATTGAACATAATTGAAGGTAAAGTGACTAGTTTAATGCGCGGCATCCAGCCTCTTAACACAGCAAACAGGCGTTAGTCTCTCTCTGTTTTCACTGGAGGTAACATCTTGCTTGAGACTCTCTTCAACTAAATGCTTTTTTCTGTGTTTCCAAGCAAATTATTGGTCATTTTGAAATATATTTTACATATTGACAATATATAATGCAGTGCAGTGTTGATTTAAAGAAAATAATCTTGAATTACACCAAGAGAGCTAAAATTTTATGGGTGAAATGGCGCCATGGGGTGACTTCTCTTCCACCCCAATGCCTTCTCTTCTTCCTTCTCCTCCACCCCCATTCTAAATCCCATCATCATCATCATCATCATCCAGGATCCTTCTACATACACACCTCAAAGTAAGTGAACTTTTCTACCATTTTTGTTGAATTTAGGAAATTTTCGGTGAGCTGGAACTAATTACCCAAAATCCCATTGAAACAATGGTTTCGGTTAACGAACTTTTCGGTTAACGAACGACCTTCTGGAACGGATTGAGTTCGTAACCGAGGGGTCACTGTACTGGTATACGTTATTTCACATACTGTATACAGTATGTCACTGACAAATATAGGAACAAAATTTCATTATACATGTCACTTGTATTACATATACGTCATCTGCATCATCCACTGTTTTATACTAAGTCTGTGTGTACAGTCTCACCCAAATGTTTGTTAACTCTCCCAGGCAGCTATTGCTGCACTGCCTGCTTCAGTTGTATGAACTTGAGTCTGTTACTTCGAACCTTTAGATTCATTCGAATCGGTTTCATGTTCTGGTTGATACTGAGACAGTTTCAAACATCTTGTATACAGGAGGCTCCCGGGTTATGAACGGGTGAAGTTCCTGAGTCGGATTGTACGTAAGTCGGAACACGTATTATGTGCGTACCGTACTTACAGAACAATGTTTAAAATCCCACTATATATAGTTTAAGTCCTTATGTACATCTGAAATCACTTAATTTAGGACAAAAGAAGAAATAGAATGACAAAATACAGTAAATGAAAGCAAAAAATAGGACAAAAGAAGAAATAGAATGACAAAATACAGTAAATGAAAGCAAAAAATAAGTCATCAGGTAAATAAAATACAGTATCGGCCTATTTTTGGAGTATCGGAATCAGTGGAATTTCGACCGATATGTTATTATATACTGCATACATACATACAGTATTACTGGTAAAGGTAGTCACAATAACCTGAGTTTCAGTGTTTCCACTTTCAAGGAAATTTCTTTATTTTAAGAAAATTTGGTGCTCACAAGGAACTTTTTAAGGAAATGATAAATCTAAGGAAATTCAAAGAAAATCAGGAGTTGGGAATAAAATAAGACCGAGTATTTTATTTTTCATCAAAATACAGTGTATATGGAATCAATATAATAATTCTGGCCAAATTCTTCTTGTTTCTAAGCCTAAACAGTGCTTACAATTATTACATAGAGTATTCAGGTACTGTACAGGACATAAAAGAGGTTCTCTGCCTGCCTACAGTCACCATGGATCTAAGGGATGGTTGAAAAGTACCATATTGCTTATATCCTGTACTAATAATGATCATTTATTCTATGGAGTCCTGTAGTGTTTCATCATTTAATCAATGGATTCTGTATAATTACTGTACATGGTTAGTTAATAATAGTGAGTTTTTAAGGAGTTTCATTCCTACAAGGTAAAAAGAATTAAGATATATGTTGTAACTTATGGGAAGATGTCGTATTTGTGTGCTCATTATACTGCATCACTTTCTTAGTCTCTAAGCAGGTTTACAGCACTTCAGTCTGCCTCCTGAAGATGTTTGACTGTTGCATTAATGTGGGTAATGTGACTATAGGGATTATTAATTTATTAGGCACTGGGCCCCGTGGGTCTCAGGACTAGTGTCTACCATAACAGCTCTACAGGAATGATCCAGCTTTCTTTTCACTGGAAGTTTTTCATCAAAGGAAGTTTATAAGGAAATTGAATAATTATTTTTAAAGGAAATCTGAGGAATTTTTACAACCCGATCAAGAAAAGAAAATTTCAAAATGTGGAAGCACTGATGAGATTCTGGACTACGAGTTAGAGGATCCTTCATTAGGGCAATCACAGACCACTAAGGGTTCTACCATTACCAATGCCCCACATATTAACTGAAAGAAACAAGGCACACCTCAATCCCTGGTCAACTGTGGTGGTTTGTGACTACACCAAACAGGTTTACCATACAGTCAACCCTCGCTTTACGCGGTCCCACATTCCGCGTTTCCCCGTTTACGCGGTACCCTACCGAAACCGGAATGCTCACATTACGCGGTGCGTGTACCCCTTTAAGCGGAGAGCGGCTGGCGAGCCGCGCCATTTTTGGATCCAAACCTCCCGCCATCTCTCCCGCCCTCCGCCATGTTGTGTAAGCGGCGCGAGTAGGTTGCGCAGTGTGTGTCTTTGTTGCGTTATCAGTGACGTCATATGACATATCGGACTGTAATTGGGCCATGCATCCTTACCTCCCTCCGCTGCTAGCTGTGATTGGTTTAAAGTAATATGACGTGTCCACCTGCGGGAGGGGGGAAGGAGGAAAGACGACGCTTGACCTAGCTGCGGCAGTTTCATCCCTCCAGGCCACACCGTGTAATCGTGCATCCATTGTTCTGTAAAATGGGTTCCGCTGGACCACCGCCCCCAGAGAGAAACCTTTCCTTACCTGGACCCAGCTGCCCTAAGCCAAAGAAGACACGACGTTCCTCAAGCTACGAAATTAAGTATAAGATCATACAAGAGTTGGAGAAAGGAACAAGACAGGTTGATCTCGCGCGCCAGCATGGTGTTAATGAGTCTACGATCAGGACAATTAAGAAGGATGCAGCCAAGATAAAGGAGCACATGAACATCACAAAGTCTACAGGTGCTTCTATGATCAAGTATTTCCACAACCAGGTGCTTCTCAAGATGGAAAAATTACTAGTGAGCTACTTGGTGCGTCAGGCGCGACGGAACATGGCTGCGGACACGCGCTCAGTTAAGGAGTATGCACGTGAACTGTATGCTGCAGTGTCACGAAAGATGGGAATTACAGAGCCCAAACCCTTTAATGCTTCCTCTGGGTGGTTACAGAGGTTTAAGAAGAGGAACAAGATCACCAATATCAACATTGGTGGTGAAGAAGCTAGTGCTGACCGTGTTGCGGCTAGGGAATTTCCTCCGTTTTTATGTGAGATTATGGAGGAAGGACAGTACACCGACGACCTGGTGTTTAACATGGACGAATCTGGTCTTTTTTGGAAAAAGCTACCTTCCAAGACCTTCGTTGTGAAGAATGCCAGCAAGATTCGGGGCCGGAAGTTGCAGAAGGAGCGCATCACCGTCCTGTTTACCACCAATGCCTCCGGTACCTGTAAGCTCAAGTTATCGGTGATCCACACAGCACGCAAGCCGCACGCCTACAAGAGCATGGACATGACCAAGCTAACTGTCCACTGGCTGACCGCACGTAAGGCGTGGATGTTCTCTACACTGTCCCTCTCCTGGTTTGATGACTGTTTCCTTCCCGATGTGAAGAAATTCTGTGAGCAACAGAATGTGCCATTCAAGGTTTTGTTGCTGCTGGACAACGCACCAGGACACTCGCCCCTACTGTTAGATCGTCACCCCAACGTAAAAGTGGTCTTCCTTCCTCCCAACACTACGTCTATATTACAGCCCATGGACCAAGAGTTAATCTGTAATGTAAAAGCTGCATTCTCTACTAAAAAATTCAAGCTCCTGAACGACTACACCAACACCAGGGAAGAGTTGTGTAACCTGAGTGACACCACCACCGATAGCAAGAGCGAAGACGACGAGGATCAACAGTTGGCAGAGCAATAAATACTTTTCAAACAATTCTGGAGAATATTCAACATCAAGAAAGCTGTGGACTTCTTGGTGGAGGCATGGGATCAGCTGTCTGTAGCAACTGTTCGTCACGCATGGAGACATGTGTTGCAAGGCATTCTGGCCGTTAGGCAGAGTCAATCTGTGACTGGTGAGGTTCAGACTGTTGCAGTAGCAGTGGACCTTGCCAGAGAAGCTGTGCAGAGTGTTACAGCTGCAGGCTTCTCCGAGACCACCAACGACGGCATCCTGGAGGTGATAAGGGATCCTGATGTGACTACCGATGAGATGGTAGATGATGATGACGTCAGTGAAGAGACAGGTGGTGCGTCATCCCAAGAAGAACGCCTCTTATCCCATAGTAATGTTAGGGGTGCCATCGAGTGTATCGAGAAAGTCACGCTCTTCCTTTCCGACGACCCCGACGCACACAGGTATGAAATCTTCACTACCCAGCTGTTGCAGACTATGGAGCCCTACATCAAGGTTTATCACGACAACATAAACACCAGCCGTCAGCAAAGCATAACAGAGTTCTTCGCCCGCAACCCACCACAGCCAGCCCAAGCCAGTGATAGTGACAGAGGTAGAAACAGTGATGATGACTTTGAGGGATTTGTCAGGGAGGCCCTGACAAGTGTGGATGACAGTGATGATGACTCACCTGAGGGCCAGTAGCCTGCCCTCTGCCTCGGAACCAGCCTCCATTCCCGTACGCTGACCCATCTCTTCTACTAACGTAAGTGTTAACCCCAACCTTGTTTTTTTCTAACCTAACCTTCAGTTTATTGACTGTTCCTTTCTATATTATGTGTGGGTGAATACCATCATAAAGTTAAGATGTTATTTTTAGTAAAACGTACATATTGTGTCGGGAAAAAGTGGAGTTTGGGGGTCGGCCCGGTCTCTATTTCAATTAATCCCATATGTTATGTTGTTCACTTTACGCGGGCCGCCGTGGGTTGAATTAACCGCGTAAAGTGAGGGTTCACTGTATTTCATTCCACTGTTTTTCATAGGTTCCTAACAAAATAAAACAGGACACTTGCAGAAGGTAGATTTATGAAAATGTTGCACTGCGCATTTCAAGTTACATTCTAGTCGGCATCATGATTTTTTTTCTCAAGATACTACAGGTATATCTGTTCAATCATTAATACTCATGCAACTGAAATATGGGTCCTTCAAATCTGCTAAAATGTGAAGTTCTAAAACATCCAAAGAAGTAATACATACCTCTATTCATCCAATCATCTGCCACAGTTGTACGATGTGAATTAAACTTTTATTTTATTTATTTTTTTGTTTTGTTTACATTACTGTACTTCATAAAGAGCATATAATTCAGAGGGGGAAAAGGGAAGATCAGGAAAGAAGATATAAGGATGGGATGAAGGAAGTGCTATGTGTGAATGATGGGAGAACATAGCCTCTGGTGGTTTATGGGACATCACAATACAGTAGTTAGAGGGGACTGTTTTTTGGTCTTTGAATATAGTCCATCTTCAACATAGTGGGAAAAGGCTTGCATAAAGAAAAGAAAAGAAAAGAAAAAATCTTGATTACTTACTGTGAGGGGAAAGGTGCCTTCACTACAAGTGTACATCCGATTTGAACGAAGGTAATATTTCTCAAGTTTTAAGTTGAGCACCCACAATGTTTGAATGAGAAGCCCCTGCATATCAGTATCTTCTTGCAACAACTCCTGGCATGATGCCTGAAATTAAAAGATACAACAGAATAAGAAAAAGTGTACCTGATATAAGGTAGATTAATCCTGTAATCTAGGTGACTTCTCATAACACAGGCTGGCAATTGGGCCATTCACTAGTCCAGGAGAAACAAGGGATTGCCCTAAAGTTGTGCCCATGGAAATTTTAATTAATATAATGAAAAATCATCATATGTGTCAGGGGTGGATCCAGGAATATCAAAAAGGGGTCAGTTAAATAAGTTGTGGGTGGGGGGGAACATGGTGAGCATAGTGAGCCCACCCTGGGGTAATGCCTCATCAGATTTTTTTTAGTCTGAGCAATATCATGGGCATTTTTAGGTAATTTTGAAAAATGTGCACTTGATAATAGGAGATATTCTAAGGTCAATAGTAATTAGTTTTTGCTATAGAAAAATGCCTGAGTACAATACTGCAATTAATATAAAGTATTGGAATTTTCTGATGAAAAGGAGGGCCAGACCCCCTCCCCCCATATACTTATTATAATATACACCCAGCCATTTTGCTCTTGAATCATACACCGGAAATGTCAGTATCTCTGATAAGATGACCAACATAAAGAAGGGAGTTTACCCCCTAGCTTGATCAGAACATTAACAGAGGGTTAAAAGTTAAAATGCCATAAATTCTTATGAGAAAAAATATGAAAACAAATACTGTACCTCTTTCAAGAGATTTACTTCCTTTAGGATATGATTGGGGTATTGTGACATGTCAGTAGTCACTGCAACTTCACACATGAGAGGTTTTGTTGGTTCTGGAGGGATAACCACTTGGTCGACACACTCTGGAGATGTACTTTTACAGTTGTGTAGGGACTGACTTCTTGAATATTTACTTTGGGAAGGACTTCTTGAACGTCTACTTCGGGAAGGACTTTTTGAATGTCTATTTCGGGAAGGACTTTTTGAACGTCTATTTCGGGAAGGACTTTTTGAACGTCTATTTCGGGAAGGACTTCTTGAACGTCTACTTAGGGAAGGACTTCTTGAACGTCTATTTCGGGAAGGACTTCTTGAACGTCTATTTCGGGAAGGACTTCTTGAACGTCTATTTCGGGAAGGACTTCTTGAGTATGAACTATGCGAAGAACTTCTTGAACGTCTACTTCGGGATGGACTGTTAGAAACACTTCTTGACAACTTGAGTTTGTTACCGATAGGACTGAAAAAATACATACATATGAATATTTAACTCCACTTTTCACCTTAATATTGAGCCTTACACATATGTAGTCATCTCCATCAATTTTGTTTGACCCCTTACACTTACATACAGTACTCTACCAGTCACAGGGTTTCTTAAAAAAAATTCTACAGATTTTCCCTTCCCTCATGATTTGCTTATTACAGTAGAATCCCAGTTATCCGGCACCTATGGGGATTGAGAGGTGCCAGATAAAGAGCTTTTCCAGTTAGTTGAATCTCACAGTGCTAAATGCTGACTTTGCAAATTAGTCTCAGAAAAAAACAGATTTCTTTAACACTTATTCTACTCTATATAAATGATGAGGCTAAGAAATAAAGAAAATATAATACAGTATAAAACTATAAAATAAAAAACATGAAGAGATGGGTGCGTATGTATGGGAAGTGAATGTGTGTGGAGGCGATGGGTTACTGGACTATAACTGCCTTCCTGCACTCCCTCTCTTTATGTCAGACATATACTCATCCAACGTGGCAACTGCATGTCTGTGAGTCAGCTGGGTGACTGCGTGAACTGTGTCATGTTGACCAGAGGATGGTTTGAGTGTGGAAGGAGCAATTTTTTGTACATAAAATATGTGATATTGAATTTTATGATATGCTATGTATCGATTTTACTGTTTATCATGGCAATAAATAATAATAATTTATTTTTATTATTTCATTTTGGTGCTGGTTAGTTGAATCTGCCAGATAACTGGGATTATACTGTATAATTTTCATGTCAATCTTTCCTACATTTCCCTGGCCATGATAGCATAAAGAAATGAAGGTTTGATCCCAAAAACCCATTATAGAACAGAGTCTATGTGTGTGAGGATTGACCTATGAATATATGAAGCATTGTGAATAGTAATGACAACCTCAACTAAACCAAGTTGAGGGAAGCGTCCGACTGAAGCACAAAATTCGATAATAATTGATCAATCAACATAAATTTCCTGTCAACAATTAAAGAATCCAGATACATTGTTGCTATAACCCTGAATCAGTTCTGCCTAATCCCTAATACCTGATATTTCCCTTATACTCTTACCAATTTTAAAAATCTTACTTTCCATAACTTCTCGCTAGATTACGTTGAAATTAATTTGTATTATAGGTAATTTACTCCTCTTGAACGTGGCACATAGATATTTCTGATTATCGCTTTTGTTTTAGGCGCAAGAATTTTTTTTCTAACTTACCAGTATTTCCACCAAAATGTTTATAAATATAAATCAGCAAATAATAAACCAAGTCAAATATAAAGAAAACTTATACGTTGAGCCATAAACAATATGTTATTATACTACAGGTTGTACCACTCTAGTCCGGCATTCTGTGGTCCGGAAACTCCCGTGGTCCGGAACGATTTTAGTTTGTCCAACAGGTAGATGGGCAGCTTACTTTTTTTTTTTTTTACTTTTTTAATTATTATTATTATTACAGGAGTATTAAATTTTTGCCCCTCAGGCCCCAATGTGGGTCAGTGACTTATGCCCGGGTGGGCTAATCCCCTTAAAAAAAAAAAAGCCGCGGGAAATTAAGGTTTGTTTACATCCGGCAGTTCGGCTGCTCTCTCTCTCTCTCTCTGCTTGTCTATACAGAGTACAACATTTAACCCTTCAATATATATGAGCAGTAAATAAGTGTTGCTTTCATATTCTTATGTAGAGTAATGACGATATGTTTTCACATGTGCGCACTTACATACGCGCAGTCTCACTTTTTTTTTTACCATTAATGGTTAGCTACTTATATTGTTCCATTTATTAACATTAAATAACATTACAGGTACTTCAAACAACCATATTAATTTTTTTACATTAATTTTACTGCAGCTAAAATCAGGGTCTTATTTTCTTCAGTTTTATATGTAGAACCAATCAGTCACTGGTTTTGTAAGCTTTAACATAAACAATGCCGGCAGCCGTCTCGTCTCCTCTAATATTCCACGTATTATTAATAAATTGTATTGTTAATTTTGCACACACAAACATTAATTCAATAAAAAGAAATTCAGAAACATAAATTAAAATATATATGAACAGTAAATAAGTGTTGCTTTCATATTCTTATGTAAAGTAATGACGATATGTTTTCACGTGTTCGCATGCCCACTTACATACGCGATCTCTTTTTTCTTTACCATTATCGTTAGCTACTTCTATTGTTCCATTTATTTCCATTTATTAACATTAAATAACATTACTTAAAACAACCATATTAATTTTACTACAGCTACAACCAAGTCTTATTTTCTTCAGTTTTATATGTAGAACCAGTCAGTCACTGGTTTTGTAATCAACGAAAACAATGCTGTGTCATTTCCTCGTGTGTTTTAATATTCTACGTATTATTAATGAATTGTATTGCTCATTTTGCACACATAAACATTAATTCAATAAAAAAGACATTCAGTAATAAACAATAATGAATCTTTTGTACATAAGAGAAATGACGCTGTTTACACGATTATGCACGTCGTCTGCACGTTGGCGGGCCGTTCAAACCCGTCGAAATTCAAGTTTCCGCCGTCAAAATTTTTATTTATTTTTTTTGTGTTCCAATAAAATACGTTAAGAATTAAAAACTCGCGAAATTTGAGAAGCTACTATACGACATTTAACCCTTCAATATGTCTTCAAAGAGACCATGATGCAGAGAAAGTGGTGCTAGTGCTTCCAAGCATAAGCACAAGTCACTATCTATCCAGGAAAAGGGTGAATTTCCATGGTCCGGCAATTTCCATGGTCCGGCACCGGTCAGGTCCCGAGGTTGCCGGACTAGAGAGGTACAACCTGTACTTAGTTTTTGTTTTATTACAGTCAGTCCACTCTCACATATTCGATGGGGAACTGTCGCCAGCTAACTGAGAAAGGTGCCAGATACTGATCAATACCAAGTGATTGGTATTATTTTACACCAAAATATTATTATAAATACTTATCTACAGCTTTTGCTACATAAACAGAGGGCCCTCTAAATGAAGGGGCAGAACAATTATGCATAGTTGTATAAATATTACGAATTATGCAATCAAAATACATCAGCAGATAGCCATAGGCAACAGCTTTCCTCAGGAATTTGTTGGAATATTTTCGTAATTTTCTGATTTTCATCGTATTTTCAGCCAGACGCTCCCCTTAGGAGAAAACAAGTCTGAGTCAATTATCAAGGTTTTTGTATTATATTTTCCAGAAACATGTCATTAATATTCCAAGAGTCTAACTTTGCAAATTCATGCTAATTAGCATCCCACTTTGCCCAAATTTCCAAAAAGCACAGATTTGTGGGATAAGCATTAAAAATATAGGAAAACTTGCTAATCATTAGTTAAAAAACTAAATCTAATTGTACAACATAAGTCTTATTGTTTTAAACTCACTCTCCAATGCCATATTTATTGGACAATTCTTTAACAATTATTCCACTAGATAAACGATGTGGTTCAGAGTTAAACGATTTAATGAACATATGGTTAGCATAATTTCAAAAAATTTCAAGTGACATGTCAAAAATGAAAAAAAATGCTTTAATAAATTATAAATTTGATACATAACATATCATAAAATATAATAGCACATACAAATATTTCAAGAACAAAAAATAGCTCCTTCCACACTCAAACCATCCTCTAGGGTAGACAATGTGATGCAGGTCAGCCAGGCAGTCACCCAGCTGACTCAGAGATGTGTGGCTGTTGCCGTGCTGCGTGTATGTCATGACATCACATTGGGGTAGAGAGTCAGGGAACATGGATGGGCTAGTGACACAGTTACAGCCCACTGCCTGACAAATACATTCATTTCATACACATACACACCCATGGTCTTCATTTTTAGTATTTTCTCTATTTCTAAGTCACACTAGAGTACTGTATTATAATAAAAAAAATTCCTATACGAGCATGGACAAGCAATAAACACGGTAATTGAGGAATACAGGTACTCATGAAAATGCACGGATTTGTGGAAAAACAGACTCTTGAGACAAATTTGCGAGGTCAGACTGCACTGTAAGAATACATCAACAATAACAACACAGAACAGTTTATCAAGATTTTTTCATGTCTTCCCCTTCTTCCTAAATACCCCAACACACCAGGGGTCATGCCACCTCCCAATGAACTAATTTTCAAAAGAATAAAAAAATGCTGTATTGATTTAAACAACTTTGAGCTAATCATACCAACTTGTGTCTGTTGTAATGTACGTACGTCATATTTGCAGAACTCTGGTTAATTAGGTCAAGAGGTAGTTGTTTTGCTGAAAGGAAAGAAGACTTATAAACTCCTACAAAAAATGTGTACTTGATATTAGAAAAAAAAACATATCCCTACAGAGCTTAATGAGAATGGAACATGGGGAATTAACAACAGTACAGGACACGACAAAATAAATATTTAATTCAATCTCTGAATACGAAACTTTCACACAGTCTACATGCTAAATCCTAAGAAGAATATTGACAAGCTCTTAGATCCTGTTCTTACTGTTATATTATTATTATTATTATTATTATTATTATTATTATTATTATTATTTTTATTATTATTATGTTTTCTTAGGGATGGAATGTTTTTGTGAATCAAGCGATGCCTGTAAAATATTTTTTTATTTTTTATTATGGGGATTTGCGCACCCGGGCGCGGGTCACTGACCCATATCAGGCCGGAGGAGGAGGGTATTATTATAATAATGATAATAATAATAATAATAATAATAATAATAATAATAATAATAATAACAACAATAAATAAATACAAAAAAAATAATTAAAATCAATAGTGAGAAATGATACAATATATGTATGTTGTGTTGTCAATAGTAAGATAAACAAATGAGACCCTGGAATTGTGTAAATGAAGCAGAAAGTCAGATCAGCAACCTGGGACTTGGTTAAAATTTTTGTGATGCCATATGGCAGCAGGGTTTACCATTAGACAACACAGTATGTTTCCAATATCTTCCCAGGCGATAGTACCTCCCTGTTTGATAGCTGCTTACTACCTACTACTTAACACACACTCACATAATTTTTTACTTGAATATTCATTTGACTTTCCAAATAGGGGTAAAGTTTAATACTATCCCTCATTACATACCACCAAACTGCCCTTACTATTTAAATGTTATTACCTTAATCTTAATAATTCAACAATTTCCCCTGGAACTGTACTTAAATTTTTCACTAACTAATATTCTATAAAATTCTCTTAAAGAGTTAACTGATAAAATGTAAACAGTCCCTTCACTGGTTCACTAATAAATGTTTATGTACAGTATATATATTGAAAGTACTTACTGAAATCTATTATGGATGTATGGATCTTTCCTTCAAACTTTTCAATCTGCATTGCTTCGTCTTCATAGTCAGAGTAGGATTTCTTGAGGTATCCAAATTTTACTTCCTGCCAAATGGTGATACTGTAATACATATCTACTTCACGACATCTACATATTCATCAATATTTGAGTACATTACTATAACATATGTAAGGGTTAGGTTATTCTGTACTTTATTCTTCAAATATATTCTCTACTACATATTTCAAGACGATCAGGACCAAAGTGTTTCAGTGAAGTTGTATTATTCTTACAAATACTGTAGTCATTTTCCCTTGTAATAAAGAGCACTGGCCATGTGTATGAGGGAAAAATTAAAACTGGGTTTACAACTCATAACTATCATTCATAAGTTGGCAAATGATTATCATCTATCATACAATGTTAAAATACAATACTACTATTAAAATAAGATGCTAATATTTGGTCTCACATTAGAGTGCTTATTTAGTTATATTTCAATAAACAATTATTCATAAATACCCATGTTCTGTTTTAAATATTAGTAATACAGTACAGTACTTACTACAGGTACAAGGGTGTTTTACTTACCATGTATTTCTTGTTGTGTGCCTTGGAAATCAGATGTGACAACATTTTGGATGACCTGATTCGTGTAACATCTGTGTCCTTTTGACATAAATGACAGGTGTAGGTCTCAATTCCAGCAATTACTTCTTTATACACAAAATGTACACCTATGAATATGGATTAAAAAAGTTATGAAATACTCTTTAACTGAAATTAAATAATTATTTATTTCACCATATAAAAAGTTACGTTAATGATGGAATGAAATATGTGTGTGAGGGGAGAAAACAAGTGTCCTGCATGATCCCCATCACTTCATACATACTCCTCAGCTGTTCCTCTCTTTCCCACATCCCATTTACACTTTCCATCCATTTCTTTGACACCCTTATACAGTAAGTCCTTTGCTAACATCATGGTTACGTTCTTGTAAACTGTGACGTTATGTGAAACAACGTTAAGATGGATAAATTTTTCCCATTAGAAACTAAGAAATAAGTAGGTTACGTTCCCAGCCTCCCCTCACCCCGATAACATGCATCACAATTAAGACAATATAAACAGATTGTAAATACTGCTATGCCGCAAATACATATAAAAATAAACTACAATAATGCTTAATTAACATTTAGTATGATATATTGAACTAACTGATGGTCAAAATGTGAAACGAGCGAGTGGTGGAAGGGAGGATGGCAGGAATCACTGAGACCAAGAGGGTCCTCTTTCCCTCACTGCTTCTTCTCCTGCCATATGTTTTCCTCCCTTCCAAAAAAAAGCATCCAGTGTTAACTGCCTGGTTTGCTTCTTCTTCTTGTTCTCTGTATAGTTTTTAGTAGCACCAAAGATTCTCCATTCCATTCAGGTGCACTTTAGAGTTACATTCTTTAATAGGGTCATCTTCAGTCACCATATCCAGTCCCTCTTCTATATGACTGAATGCTACAGCAAAATCACTTGTTGGTTGTTTTGAAGCCATTTCACTGGGAAAAGTAGAGCAACAATGTAAACAAGGTGAACACGAGATACACAGAACACACGACACATTCAGCAGAGGTGTAAGCGAGACTGATGCTCCGTGGCGGCGTTGCACAGCATCACGAGGTGGGCGAGGGAAAGTGTTGCATGGAACAAAGTAGTACCGTCTGACCGACAATGTAATAATGATTTTACCCAACGTTGTGTGGAGCCTTGGTATGGAACTAGTATCGACGTAATAACAAAACATCAACTAGGACAATGTTGGGCGAGGACTTACTGTATGGCATTCTATATAATCATGACCCCATAATTCTACCTCTCTTAGTCCTATGTCTGTTCTATCTAATTTCTTTTCCTACTTCTTCTAGAGATCAAGTTTCACACTTTCATCCTTCAACCGCTCAACTCTTTATCATGGTTAGTTTTTCATCTGGACTTCTTGTTTTCAGAGTACAGCACCGAGACAAACCCTAACTTCCATACTATTAACACCTGGTCGGCAACTCTTCAGTATGTACACTCGCTCCAAAAAAGCATCTTTACGATATTGTGTGAGACAATATGACACAACGATCGATGGATTTTGACAAAAAAAGATGTGGTGTTCATTTTGAAATTCATTGGGCCCCTCCGTAAAGATACCATGTGGAGCAAGTGTACCATCATAATATGTACTTTTATTTATTAGCCATATAAGTACTAGCCACATAGAGAAATATATCATGAACTAGAGTCACAAGATCTTACCAAGGATAGGTTCTGAACAGGAATCAATCTTATCCTCTAATGATCCTTCTGGAAAAATCCCACGTTGCACATTATGTGGCTGGCGCCGCAGGGTGCCTTTGATGTTTGGATCCTTTGGGGTTATTATCTGCTGTCGTAACTGAAGTGTAAATTGAAAACACTTTAAACAGAAGCCTAAAAGTAAGTACAATTTCAACTCCTTTATTTGAAATGGTCATTTAATTAGTTTTGTTTGTATGGTACTGTTGGTACGTACAGTCGGGGTCAAAGGTCTTGAACACTTAGCAATATCTGGCATCTACTTGTGAGTTATACATATATGATTGGGATATACTAATAACACTACTTGTCATCACACATTATGCGTGAACCACAAAATGGGATAAAATTCTCCTTAATACCCAAGATCTTCGGGTACTTACATGCCAGATACTGTCAAGTGTTCAAGACTTTTGACCCCGACTGTACATGTATTAGAGGCACAATTTTGGGAAAGAAATACGAAAATGGCATTTGTACTTGTCAAGAAATCCTCTGTGTATCTACCTCTTAAGTGAAGAGTGTAGAAATGATGTAGATAAATTAAAGAGTCAGCTGAAGTTATGACTACAAGTGATGGGTGAGTTGATCCTCTTAAAACTCCTAATAATGTTACCATAATGATTAACATCCATTATAGAAGAAGACCAACAATCCAAATGACCCATTAACGTGTAATATCAAAATTTATAAGAAAACAAACAAGAAATATGAACAAAGCGCTGTGTAGCAACCAGGAAACTTGTAAACAAAACACCAAGTACTGCAACTCTATTAATACACAGTTTATTATTATTATTATTATTATTATATACAATACAGGTAAAAGAAATTACTGTCTCCAGAATGAATGGCTCCCTGTCCTGGCCGCAAAAATGCCAGAAACTTTAAAAGTACTCTTAGACATCCTTGGGTACATCTAGGGTGTCAAATGCAAATAATCGAGGTCCGTGAATTTTAAGGCCATGCTGTACCAAGAGTATTGTATGAATTTTAAAAATTTTTATTATCCAACTCACCCGTTTCTTGTGTGATTATCCATACCTACCACATTCATACTTATCTCCCACGTACAGTCCACACAGACTGGTGGCCTCACTGTGTCCATTGCTCCCCCACCTCCTTAAACATACAAACCAGGCAATTAATCGGTGGTCAGCCAACTTACCTTCTTGTGGCTTCTGCCATTCTCATGAGTGTAGAAGGGATCATAGGATGACAAATCCTTGGAGCATACCTGTTAAGAAGGTAAAATTCTATTAGCTAAGCAAGGGATTTAATAAATAAGGTGTACACCCACTAAAAAATTATTCGGCACCCATGTCATATTGTATCAAGACATAAGGGTGCCAAATAATTTTTAGTGGGTGTACAGCACAGTCTAAATTAGTAATAGTAACAGGAGATAGATTATTGGAAGTAAAGTACAGCCAATAAAAAATTATTCGGCAACCTTACGTCTTGATACAATATGACACGGGTGCCGAATAATTTTTTAGTGGGTGTACAACAGCTTCATAGATAACTGTACCTTATTGCAACCATTTCTAATCCTTTACTACGTCTTATAATAACAGAACTCCCGATTCCATGTTCTCATTTTTTTACTTAATTAAATAATACCTCAAGAAAAGTACATAAATGGATGGCCATTCAATAAACAATATTCATTCCTTAAACCTCTTGAAACTTTACAATGGGTCTTCCCATAACAATTGTCTTTCAAACATGATTAATACTAAAATAATATTTACTGTGCTGACAAATAATATTTATAACAACTGAAGCATGTACAGTCATACAATTTTATGGGCACGGGTATACACCATCACTCATCATCCACTGCTCGGAGAGTCTGTCGCTACCTAGGAAGCACACAAAGAAACGAACAATACCTGTTACCTCCTGTCTGTCCTGGAAACTAGCCTTATAAAGTATTAATATTGAAAAGTGAGTGGAATCTCCAACTAAAGCAGTAGGGTGTTCAATGAGCCCACTATCAGCTTCATAAGATCAACCTAGGATGATGACTCACTCATTAAAGAGCCTAAGGAATATAGTAGTTGGTGAGAAAACAAGTAAGAAGATATGGCTGAGTGAACAACTTTCCTTGCTAAGAACTAGGCCTACAACTGTCACTTTTCCCATAATAGCTGAAACCCTAAAGAATTCCATTAACTCTTTGAAGGGAATTTGTAAGTATGGTGATACAGTACAAACACTCTTCTCTATGAAGTATGCAAGGGATTTGGCAAAGAAGAATTTTTCACAATTTTGGTATGTAAAAAATCTTCTTCTGAATGTTTATTTGGAATAACTAATACAATGCTGAAAGATATAAGCAAGAGAGCTTACATATCACAGTCCTGACACCCAATTCCTAACAACAATCTTTTCTACTGGTTGTCCATTGAAAATTCTTGAGAAAACCTTCCCTGGATTATAGAACTGACATGTTTAAAATTTTATGTAGGCTGAGGAGCTTACAACTGATAACCCTTCCAGGGGTAGATCCAGGAATATCAGAGTGTCCAAGAAGTTGTCAGGGTGGGTGTAACAGCACCTTTGTTTTGTATAAATATTCACCCAAGTGAATAACACCAACTTATTCACCAAGTTATTCAACAATGACTCAACCTGTTGACAATTATAATAATAATAATAATAATAATTAACAGTTTATTGAAAGAGCTTGGCAGCCAGAAGGCTGAAAATATAAAGTTACATATTTGGGGAATGGGTTTCGAATTACAAATAATATACAAGTAACGATTATACACGGCTAAGCGCAGGTCAGCTGATTTATCAAATAGCCGGCTCACTCTCTCGCCTCTCTCACGCCCAGAGGAGGAAGCAGAACCTTACCACTTGATCATGGAAGAACACGTAACTCAAGGGCTCTCAAAGTGCATTCACAACACTTCCCTGCAGAGAATTCATAATTTATTCTCTCAAAACAGATCTGTGTATATATTTGCTTCAACAATAAAGTAAAAGCAGCAAGAAGTGTTTACATCAAGCCCTGCCACTTAAAGAGTTCTAGAACTTAATTAAAACAATTAATGTGATACCAAAACAGCAATCACGTGGGAAACATGGCGAGCACACCCAGCTGGGAGGGCTTTTGGGGGAGGGATGCTGTAAGCCCCCAGATTATTTTTAATCTGACCAATTTCATGGGCATTTTGAGGCCATTTTGAGCCATGTGCACTTGATATTAGAAAGTATTCTGAGGTCAATAGTAATTACTTATTACCATACAAAAATACCTCGGTACAATACTGTATTAAAGAAAAGTATTGGAATTTTATAATGAAAGAGGGGGGGGGGGTCACCCGGCTCCCCTGGACCCCCCTGCCTTCAGAGAAGACACACCAGCGTGGACCTCATAAGGACATTTGAATTCCTAAAAGGGTCAAAAGATGAAAGCATAGATAAATTTTTCAAGATAATAAGTGTCATAAAACAAGAGGTTACAGCTTCAAGTTTGCCAAATTGTAATGCAGAATGAATACTGTATGAGAAAGTACATCTTCCCACAGAGGGCAGTAGACCTGTGGAGCAGTCTACCAGCTGAAGTTGTGGAAACAAAAACAGATTTGGGCTTCAAAATAACACAGGACAAAACTATCAAGACCACTGGTCTCCTCCCTCACCATAGCCACCTCTAGTTGTGGCCTTGAGGTAAAATTAGATGGATAGGTTTAAGGATTACATCAAGGTTTAGAATCAAGACTATATGTAATTCACAAGTCAACTAGTGAAAGGCTTCAGTCATAAATAAAATGAAAGTAGAATGATAGGAGATAAGTTGGCACTAATGAGTAACTAGATATAGCCACAATTACATTATTAATGGTGAAACTTGTATAATGACTGTTACCTGACAGTGGATAATGAGACGAGTGCCATTCTGGTTATTTTGGTAGTCAACTTCATATTTGTTCCCTTCTATCGAGTTGAAGAGCAAATCTGGAAACAGAGTCATAAAGTTAAATATGGAACTATTGTACAGTGATACTGTATCTCCATTAGCCGGAACAATTGGTACAGAGCACTTCCGGGAATGAGAGATTTCCGGGTAACGAGACGACTCTCTCAAAGCTGGAAAAAATCCCTCATCCCTGAATATTCGGGGTAACGGACATATTTTCTTGGAAGTTCCGGAGATTTTGCATTACATCATCTCTCAAACCCGGAAAGAAATCCCCCATCACCGGAATTTTCTGGGTACAGGTACTGGGAAAATTTTATCCGAATTTTCCAGGATGAAGCATTATTTCATCTCTCAAAGCCGGAAAAATAATATCCCCCACCCCAGAATTTTTTTCTCGGAATTTCCGGAAAATGAGCCTCATTTTCACCTCTCAAACCCGGAAAAAACTCCCCCATCCCCAAAATTTTCTGGGTACTGAGAAAATTTTATCAGAATTTTCCAGAAAATTTCCGCACCGGAAAATCATTCCCAAAGCCAGAGTTTTTGGGAAAATTCCGGCTTTGTGAACGATTTTCCTAGAAAAATTTCAATTCCGGCTATCGGAGAGTTCCGGTTAAGAGGGATTCCGGCGAACAGAGATATTTCTGTGTTAACATTACTGTAGTATTAATTTATGATAACCAATTTCCAATATCAATGTCAATGTACATCACTTAAATAAAATGGAAGAACTAAATTGTTATAAAGTTTATTGAATATTTCTAAATCTTTATTTTATAAAGCTATTTATCTTTTTTCATGCTTTATCTGAGCGTTAATCTTCCACATTAGCTCCGGACCTCCCTTATCTTTTTTATTCAACCTTTTCTTTCATTGTCCTGTTCTAAATACAATAGTTTTTCTCATAGCTTTTACCCCCCCCCCCCACCAAAAAAAAATCCCTTCTACAGTATGCTTTAACACACTGTACAAGGTGTCTCAAAAACTGTACACACACACACACACTGACTTACAGATTTTCATGGTGGTCACATTTATTTATTTATTTTTTATTTATGTATTTATTTTTTTTTTTAAGGGGAATAACACACCCGGGAACAGGTCACTGACCCACATCAGGCCTGGGGGGCGAAAATATTATAATTATAATTATAATTATAATTATAATTATAATAATAATAGTAATAATAATAATAATAATAATAATAATAATAATAATAATAATAATAATAATAATAATAATAATAACTATTATTATTATTATCATTATTACTATAATTAATAAAATTAATAACAGAATTATAAATATAAAAATAATAATAATAATAATAATAATAATAATAATAACCATAAATAAATACAAAAATGATAAATATAAATCAAGAGTGAGAATTGATATACATTATGTATGTTGTGTTGTCAAAGTAAGAGAAACAAATGAGACCCTGCAATTGTTTGTAAATGAGGCAGAAAGTCAGATCATCAACCTGGGACTTGGTCACATATGGCAGCAGGGTCTACCATTAGACAACAAATTATGCTTCCAATAGGTATCTTCCCAGGCGGTAGTACCTCCCTGTTTGGTAGCTGCCTACTACCTAATGTATTGTACTGTGTTACAACAGCAACATTGTCCACACTTGTGGGATACCTCGCACATCAACAAGTGAGGACAATGTCTTTGTTGTTGCGATTGACACAATATTCTGTAAGGCAGCGTGTGTGTGTACATTTGTTTTGAGACACCCTATAAAGTACAGTAGTATTTACATAATTATTCAAAAATCTAATTCTGTTGATTTTTTTACTTCTCATTACAGGTAGTGTATCAGCTTTTCCAAATTACCTCATAACTTATACAGGACAACTTAGTGTTCCCACTTAAACAAAAGGCTTAAAATTTATTACAAAATAACACTCACTTACCAATAGCTTCCTGTAGTTTGGAACAATTGTCATAATCAAAATCAACAGTCCAAAAGTCTTTTAACCGAGTATCTGTCTCCATTATGTCTTCTGCTTCTGCCTGTAAGTAAAAAGGAAGAATTTGATTTATTTATTTAATTTTATTTTTTAATTCCTAGGACAGATCTATGGAAGGGAAGTGGGGGGTGGAGGGGGGATCACTTTTGAAGTTTTATTAATCTTCAAATTTTTTCTTTTATACAGTATAATGTTTACAACATAAAACACTGTGGGTAGTCATGGTAATGTGTGGATGTTTCATATGTGACATTTAAATTCTAACTGCCAAAAGTGGACCTCCTTTATTTCTTCTACTTGGATGGGTGACTGCCTGTCCCTAAGAACATCAGATACTGCTGGCATAAGGACTCTACTAGAAACAAGCATGTCATGGCTTTGTTAGCTGTCAAGGGTGCATCCAAAGAAGTTTCCTGGATGCCGGAAGCCCCCCTTGACCAGGAACCTGACCTCACCTCGTGGAAATTCTACCACCACGGGCCGGCCACTCAATTGACCTCACCTCGGCCATGCACTTAGTCAAGGAACCTCAGTTGAGTCTAAGCTGTCAGCGCAGATACATCTACTCTTGGTCTTCTTATCTATATTAATTTACAGCTTGTTGTTTATTTTTAATTTGAATTGTGAGAGAGAAGATTAGACACCTGAGTCCTCAGCAGTGTCTAAGGCTATGTCTGGAAGACAGCATCTCAACTTTCATGGAAGGGCATCCCAAACGTGCATATGCCTTTGAGGAGGCTGTCCTGCAGACCCAACCTAAATCAAGGAAACACAAGCTGAAAAACCTGTATCATACACATTGGGTGCAATGCCTACATGCCCTAGAAACCTTTGTAGAGTTACCTGCCTTGGTAGTGGCCAGCAAGGAAAACATTGTGGAGACTAGTTCTGGCAACTGGCCCACACACTCACTCAGGCACTGCTCCTCGCCATCACCAGCACAGACTTCATTGTTTCCCTGGTGATCACCAACAATGCACTATCCTACCTGAAAGGTGTGACCACAAGCCTTCAAGCAGAGGCCAAGGACATAGTTGAGGCCAGCAGCGAAATTGACTGTGTGAAAGCAGCACTACAAGACGTCCGAAACAACATGGATGATCACTACACTGAATGGTTTTGTCAGGCAGAACAGCTCTGTGAGGCTGTAGGTGTTAAACCTTCCACGCCCAAACACTGCAAACGCCAAAGACACAGAGACATCACGTCAGCTGATGGATCAACTGAATACTACAAGAGAACGGAGGCCATTCCACACCTAGACCATCTCCTGGCAGAGCTAGAGATGAGGTTTATCCCCCTGCACCAGAAGGCCTTCTAGGGACTCTGCATCATCCCATCCATCTTGGTAACTCTGACACCAGCAGAGGGCAACAGAAGAATACAAGAGCTGAATGACCTCTACTGGGAGGACCTGCCATCTCCTGGTAGCATCAAGAGTGAGGGACACACCTGGAGTGTCAGGTGAGAGAAAAAAGCCAAAGACCAGGACCTCACCAGCCTTCCAACTACACTGACCACCACCCTCTCTCAGACACCAGGTTCCTAGTTCCCCAATGTGAGGTCCCTGCTCATTATCCTGTGCACCCAGAGAACAACAACATGCTCTGCTAAAATATCTTTCAGTGGACTGAAAAGACTAAAAACACCAATCAGGTCAACAATGAGGAACAAGAGACTGACAAACTACTGCAGATGCACTGAGATATAACCAGTGGACATAAACCAAACAATTGACACATTTACACAGCAAAATCGTAAGAGAATGAAATATGCAAATATACTTGCTGAAAAGAAAAGGATCTGCTTTACATGGGCCAGTAGGCCTTCTGAAGAATTCTGAATTCTTATGTCATTATGTTTTACAGTATTTATGTACACATTAATTTACTGCAATAAAAATGTGGTACACACTATATAATTATGTATTCAGCTCAATAAATTCATGTATTTTATGTTTCTGCAATTAAATAAACCCCTGAACCCCTGTAGATAGAACTGTTTCTCAAGTGTTAGTGCTCTGAAGTCAAGCATGTTAGTTCCTCACCTCGCTCAAATACTGTACTTGGAAACTGCCCTTACCCAATTAATGACTTTTTTTCCTGTAAGAACACTATACAGTACAGGTTGACAACCCTTTATCCGAAATTCCGAAAACCGAAAAGCTCTAAAAACCGAAAGTTTTTTCGTGGGGCAATATTTATTTATTTATTTATTTATTTATTTATTTATTTATTTATTTTTTTAACAGGGATTATTAGCCCACCCAGGCACAGATCACTGACCCATATAGGGGCCTGGGGGGCAAAAATGTAATAGTAATAATAATAATTATTCATAGTAAATAAATTTTTTAATAAAAATACACCAAAATAAAATAATAATGATTACAATAATAATAATAATAATAAAATATAATAATAAAATTAATAATAATAATAATAACAACAATACTGTAATAATAAAATAATAATAATACAGTAAAGAAATACAAGAATGAAAAAAAGATCAAAAGTCAGAAACATGACCTAGACCTATGAATTATTATTATTATTATAATTTTTATTATATTTTCGACCCCCAGGCCCCAATGTAGGTCAGTGATCTATGCCCGGGTGGGCTAATACACATTAAAAAAAAAAAACCTAACCATTCTGAAAACCGAAAAATTCCGAAAACCGAATTGCCTCTGGCCCCAAGGATTTCGGATAAAGGATTGTCAACCTGTACCATACAATTTTATTTTTGGTCATATCATATTTTCCACAGTTGTTCTTTGGATGATATAAACAAATAAAAACGATACTATAGTTTTTCTTTTAATCATAAATCACCAAAACAGTAGTGGGCAGGGCATGAAAGATGAAGGAAATTGTCGGGGTAAAAAAGGCAGCAAATAATTATCATATGACACCAATTTCATGTCTCTACAAAACAATAAACGACAAGACCCTCATATTGGGGGTTTTAGTACTATCTATACTGGCTTAATTTCTTTTCATGTTATAGGCTTCAGTTTTCAGATTCGTAAGTTGATCGGGTGCGTAAATACCTTACCCTTTATTTTTTATTTTGGCGTAATTATATACAGTAGTATATTGTAGTTGGATTCATATCCCCTATTATGAGTTTGGATACATTTCCAATTTCTTTGGAATATAATTGGTGAATAAGTGAACTATATGTTCCTATACTTATTGTTTTCCCCAAGAAACAAAACAAGCTCGTCATCTTGAATTTAAGTACTGTACCTGTATGTCGTTATGGCATCCTGTGTGGTTTGTTCTTTACTGTTTCACAAGTTATCTGTGCTTGTAGAGGATGTAGACTGTTTCCAAGAGTTCCTCTGTCAACAAGGACTAGTTGGCAGGTTGTGCAAGTGTTCAAAATGCATCAGAAAACTGACAGCAAAGAAGAAATATGTGTTTCAGCGCATGAACTGATAAACGTAAAATTACACCATGCTGCTCCAAGAAAGTTGCTTTCAATGGTACCAGATATCAAAGTAAGTTCTTTCTGCTCAATATGCCTGAGGGTCCGGTTAGGAAGTTAGGTAAGGTTATGTAGGTTAGGTCAGGTTCTGTGCACTGTCGTTTCCATTTTCGTGTTTAGTATCATGCAAATAGTATCTCCAAAAATTTTGGTTCAATTACCTAAGTTATTTCTACTGCTAACCGTGTTCTCTACCACTACCAAAATTAAATACCGCAACTTAATGAAGTGTACCCTCATCTTCCCTTGTCCTCTTTCTAACCACCATAATGTGCAGTATTTCATTATATAATAAATATCTTCAAGACGTCAAATATTAACACAAGATACAGGTCCCTTAACGGTGACATCTATCTCACCAAAACATTCCGTAACCAGTGATTCTTAAATGTTTTTCCTCCTTGCCTCACTACAAGCTGGCCTCATAAATTTTCATGGAGATAGCGAGAATGGTTGTGTTATAACCAACATTATCCTCACTTGTGGGAGACCTCACACATCAACAAGTGAGGACAATGGTGGAGTTGTAATACAAACATTCATGTGATATCCTCAAAATTCTGTAAGGTAGTGTGCACAGTACAGTATGTAGGGAGGTACTGTTCATACTTGTAATAACTTACCCGAGTCATCCTGTATTGACTTTTATGGTGTTTGCCCGGTGCCATGACTGCTGTTTATGTAGGATATACGACCTGAAAAGATAAAAATAAAAATATCTTATAAAGTCATACAGAAAAGAAGAAGAAAAGGAAGCATTGTCATTAAACACAAAAGTAGAGATACAGTTAACCCCCATAATGTATTGAATGTATTAGCAGCAGCTGCTAAAACAGTGTTATCAATATCTATGTTACCTTATCTTAGTCCCAAAGAAAAATGTCACCAACCAAGAATTCCCTTAAAAAAAAGATGGACATTGATACTCAGTTTCAATATTTAGTAACACGAAAGAATAATAATTTCAGATAATATATAAAAGTCGAGTAATCTTCACTTATTATATCATATAGTAAATAATAAAACTTAAATTCTTATACGTCTAGTACAGTAATAACTTCTCACAAGACAGATACCACTAAAATCTTTTCCCAACTTGAAAATTGATTACAGACACTAGTGAACTTCTCTCACTTGTCAAAGAATCATAATGTTCAGCACTTTGGTTGCCACCCAAACAATTTTGAGAATTTTATGGTTGCAATCAGTAGTTTTGACAATTCTAAAATACTATTCTTCTATGCCATTTCTGTCGCAATCTGTTAATCAATCAGAGCTCGGTAAATTATGTATAAGCGAGGTAATTAACATTTTATTTGTTGGTTTGTTAAGCAATCAGAGCCGGTATAGTGTGTTGGACAGGTTAGGTTATTGTTGACAAATTAATTATACTGTATATACAGTACACACTGTATTCCTCACTGGAAAGTGCGTCAACTCTGTTGTTTTGAAAATGTGAACAGTGTCGGCTGCTATCATTGTTTTTGTTATCATTGTTTGCTCTGTTTTTGTGACTGTGAAGTGAGCAGAGTGTAACTTTGAAAATGTCTGTGTGGGAGTCAGAGTGACGTCTCCACTCCACCTACAAGAGACCCCTTAGCCTCGAAGTGGACATGTGATGATGACCAGACTTATCCAATATGAAGTGGTGTGTTGTTTAATTGTTTTGTACTGATGGTAGTATTGTAGGAAATTTTTTATCAGTGATACACGTGTGTCTGGGGACTGGCTGGGAATGCATCCCATTTAACCCCATGTTATAATGCTCCATCATATCTCTGGGGTTACCTGTACTGTATTAAATTCTATGCATGATTGGCTGTGCTCAGTGGTTCAGTAATGCTAAAAGTTGACAATGACAATTTGTTTCATTCAATGGAGTCATTTACTGTCAGCAATATGTCCTGAACACATCACCTGCAACACACAGTAGGAAACAAAATTGTGGTCTTAGTTTCACTGATTGATTGATATCATTGGGAATTAAACACGTGTAAAACAAAATCTGAATCAAAACAAACATGAAGGGGTGTTGGTGGTACAACAGTAAGACACATATCTCTCTCAACTGTCCTGGGTCAGATGTGAGAAAAGTGTTACCTAGTGACACTACCAAACATCACAGGTTTCCTCCGAGTACTCTGGTTTTCTCCTGTACTAACACTGGACATTAATGGTCATAACAAAGTAGCAATGAACAGATCAATTGCCTGAATAGCTAGTGAGCTGTTAAGTGACAAAATAACTTCTTACTTACCTCAACAATATCCTAAAAATGACAAGGATTTGCTTTGTAATATTAGTTTGGTGATTTTGTGCTATACATTATTTCACACACAAACAATAACTTACCAGCTACTGCTACAATACAGTATGTTATTTATTGAACATAAGATGAACCAGCTTAACCTAACCCATACTAGGAGGGGGGTTAGATTAGATAGGTAAGTTAAGTTAGGTAGTTTAGATTAGGTAGTTTAAGTTAGGTGGGTAGGTTAGGTAGTTTAGGTTAGGTAGATTAAATAGGTTAGGTAAGTTCATCTTATCTTAGATAAATAATATGAGGTAACCATAGCTGGTAAGTTGTTCCTATGCTGGGTGGACCTAAGTTAGTGTTCAGGACGAAATCATTGACCACAATGATACACACTGAACTGTATTACAAATATGACAAATCTTTGTCGTAGTTTGTGCAAATGTGTTAAAAGAGGTTATTTCTAAATTAAACCTAACTTTAGTTGATATGAAAAACAAGCAGCAGAAGTATTGTTAGAAGACCTCACCAACCTAACCTTACCTAACTCCCTAGCGGAGGGCTCTGTCCCGTGGACCCCCAAGCATATTAAGCAGTATAGTATACTGTACTATTTTGATATCTGGGAACAATGAAAGGAACTTTATTGAAGTGTCATGGTGTAATTTTAAATTTTTTGTGGAAGTGAGAGTACAAAGCATAATTTTAGTCATATTATCAGTTTTTCACCGTGTATTACCCCGAAGTATCACTCATCCTTCATGACACCTGCCCACTACAGGCTATTAATGAACACATAGAGAAATACTACAAGGTTAAGTTAGATATACAAATTTTGTTTTACCGATGGTTTTAATGTGTTTTTTAACGATTTGGACCTTTATATTTGTCGGAAATCACACAGGTTGGAATACAGGGATGTAAAATATGAACAAAATCGAACTCCTTCTGGTGGTTTCCTCATGAATTACCTTATTGACCTTTGACCCTTCCTACCCCAACAATCTTGATCTTACCAAAGCAAAGGAATAATGTGGAATTGAAAGTAAATATAAAAAACCTAGCCTAAAAAAACAAGAACCTTATCAGGGAGAGTATGTCAAGTATTTCAGGCCATATACCTCACAAACTATAACACAGTACTCAATCGAACATCTAACGAGAACAAATCACATCAATATTACCTGTACTTGGTGAAACTGAATAAAGTTTCAGGTTTTAATCTTCAAGGGACTGAGTGATAAACATCCCTTTACAGGCAGGTAGATGTTGTTGACGTTACCAGTGACCAGTGTTTCAGTATAACCACGAACACCACTACGGACCCATTTGTTTTTATAATATAATAAAAATGTAACATGAGAATGAATTAAAGTTTATTAATTCTATTTGTGGGATTTTGTGGCATTATCCATTTATGGTATTAGTTCTTGGGTTAAGGTCTCCCAAAACAAAAGAAAAAACCTTCAGGGCAAGTAAATATTTTTTTTTACTGGGAATAGCCCACCCGAGCACAGGTCATCGACCCTAAGTGCCACAACGAGGCCTGGGGGCGAAAAAATGAGAGTAAAAATAAATTAAAAATGCCGGAAAACCAGTTTTTTTTAAGTGAGACAGTTTGTAAGAGTATGGAAACACAGAAGGACTCAGGTATCATAAGGACTCATAAAGCCATACGGAGAAGCCGCTGAATGGCGGCAATAGCCTTACGTGTGATTAACACATCTCTCCTTCACAAGTTCCGAGACCGACTGATAATACTGAGTATATTACTCACTGAGTGTCTACCTCCCTATATTCGACAGAGATAGAGAGTTGCCTCTGTCACGCACTGTTGGCAAGTACTGGGCATGCACCGGCTCCTGAATGTACCTGAACCTGCTCCAGTGTTGGTCAAGTCTTGTCTTGAAAGAGCTCACACTCGGTGCAGTCGCAACACTTTCTGGTAGATTGTTCCAAGAGTTTACAACCCTCACTCCGAAAAAGTTTGCCCTCACAGTTTTCTGGACTTGCGGCTTCTTCAATCTTGAGCTGTGACCCCTTGTGGGGCGAGCGTCCGCCAGCTCCAAGTAAGGACACTCGACTGAGTAGTGCCCCTTGAGATGCTTATACACCTCAATTATGTCACCCCTTGCCCGTCTGTAGTATAAGCTAGGCAAGTTCAGGCGCTCCAATCTCTCAGGGAAGCTGAGGTGCCGAAGTGCAGGCACCAGTCTGGTGGCCCTCCTTTGAACATTTTCAACCAACTGACAGTCCCTAGCATATCTCGGGGACCAAATGGGGTGACAGTACTCAAGATGGGGAAGCACTTCACCCTTGAAGACCGTTACGAGGGCCGTCTATTTATCTGAACGACCTTCTTATAAGGCCCAATAATTTATTTGCCTGATTTACCTTCTTCTCGCAAAGGCCCGAGAACTTCAGCTCATTGTGTAACGGGCCGAGTTTTCTCTTTTCAATAATTTACCATCCAGCTACTCTTTTCTGTTAGTATTCTATTTACTCATACTTATTTGTTCTGTGTAGCATTCT